ATCGAACGGCGATGCCGAACACAACTTATCCTGAACGGTGACATCGGCTCACTGAAGCCGATCCATCCGGGATATTACGCCGTCTTGCAGACAGCTACGCAGTGCGTCGTTAAGACGTAACCACCGCCGTTTCGCTAACTCGCGGTCAACGAAATCCTGTCGAGAACGAGGTTAGGCTTAACCAGTCGTAATCGTTACAGGTACAGCTTTAAGCGAGTACCGGCTTTGCTCATTGGAAATTTGCAACACGCCCGGATCTATGTCGGAAGGTGCCGGCGGCATAGGCGGCACCGCTTGCCAGAACCCTTATAACCGTCCGGCATCCGAAAGAGTCCCGGAGGTGCCCCGGAGGTGCCCCCGAGGTGCCGGATAAGGCCCGGCCCGGCGGAGTCCGGCCGGGCGGCTCCCTCGGCGCCGTAAATGAATCCGGGCGGCAGCACCGATGGGCTGCTGAGAGCCGGGCGGCGGAGACCCCGAGTTGCAAGCGGCACCAGAGCGGCAACGGGTGACTGGTCGGGCGGCAATACAAGCTGCGCCGCGGCACGGCGTTGCGGCAAAGACGCCGGCGTGCAGCCGGCGGCAGCCATGCGGCAGAATGTGCGGCAGAGGGGGAATCGAAGCGGCATGCTGTTAGATGGCCGGCCGCAGCGCGGCATCAAAGCACACTTGGTGGTATGCCGGACATCTACTCCGGCATCAAATGCCCGTGCCGTAAAATCATGCCGGGTGGGTGCCGGTTTCATGCCGTCAAAGATGCCACCGCATGCCATTTGAATATGCTGCTACAAGCCGGAAATCACTGTGACCGCCGGGCCCGGGCGCATACGATTCAATATCAACTCCGAATCGGGGTCTATCGGATCGTACGCACTCAGCAACAGTCCATTCTTTCCCAATCACGAATGTACACTTGTATGTACTACTATGGTTGCTATGCGGCTGAGTTGTATAGAATGAACTCACACAATCACACTAGGTCCGAAATTGGCAATGTTACAATGAGGTTCGTTTACACTGCAAGTCTTGACGATTGCGAATCCAAAAAATCACGAGCGGTTAAGTGGCCACTTCCTGAATCGCCGCTGGCGCCTCGGCTGCGGGCGCAAGCTACATCTCGAATATTGGAGAAAATTTCTCTTCATAATACTACTTTGAAGCCAGGTTCATGACCAAGGAAGGCTAAAATTGGTCCGTGAAAACTTTCTGAGAGTCCGACCTCGTCTTACTTCACTTTTCGGCTTGGCTGAGGCTCAGGGAAACAAGCCTTTTCATCGGGGCCCTCGACCAGGGTATTTGCTTGAAGAGACTCTGCCGCCAATAGCAGTGAAGACCTGAGCGCACACTCTGGACTGCGCAAGACTATGATTTTGACTTGGCCATTTGACAGGCCCACGGAGCCATTGTGGATGGTCGTTTACATTTACTTTCATACTTTGAGCATTAGGCCGCGCTTCGAAGACTGAAAAGAACCACCAATCAAAGTTGCTCTGAGACGGTGAAAGATGAAAATGATCACTTAACTCTACTCGAAAATGGCCGTCCGATGTGTCTGCTCACTGGCTGCTTCATGTCGAGCAGCAAGCTTTGTGACCGAAGGTCCCAGGTCGAAGCAGGGCGTTGAGCTAGACAAAGTAAGCTCAATCGCCGTTTTTCTTTTGTATTTCTCGTGATAATTTACACTCCGAATTTGTGACATGGAACATAAGCCTTGAAAGCCTAAACCAATTTGAAACAACAATGGACGGCCATACTTTTCCTTCCTTTGTGAGCTAGAAGTAAACCGACTCAGGGCCATTGGCCGCCATAATTCCACCCCGATCATACCCGATTCCACTAGGTGAAGTCGACTCCTTTGGACTGGGGACTCTGGGACTCACCGTTTACCGACGAGGATTCCGAATCTGCTCGTCCGACATGGCGGTAAGTGAAATTACGCCGCTTAATTCAGTGTTGGCAAACAGCGGGGATCAGGGGGATGCGTTGGGGAATGCCATTGCAACGCAGGCTGTCGGACCTCATAACCTCTAACTTTTCCAAACCTCAGGCGCCATTTTCAAGCTCATTTTGCACAGCGCAACAGCGGTGGTGCTGCACCGTCCGATTTGCGTTGTCACTGTGCCATCGACCGGTGGAGAAATCATACCGGCCAAAATGTCGATTCTGCGGACCGGCCCGGCCGCCCGAAGTGGAATATGTATACCTTGAATCTGATGTGGTCCATGATTTTGCAAGATCGATGTATCTGACGGTGGAGGGCTGCGGTTCGATGCTTTGGAACGCGCATGTTTTGCCTCAACTTCGGCCGGCGGGTTCTGAACCCGGGCATCTGCTACCTGCTCGCACACTTTTTTTGCCTACCGTTTGTGCCAGGGGTGTGCCAGGCCCGTATGACTTTGTACGTACTTACGTAGTACCGGTACCTTCGTTTTGTTCTAGTTTCCGGGAATGATATTTATCTACAGGTTACGGAGATTGTGCTGGGTGGTACGTGTACATACTGGTCCTCTAGGCTGTTACTGTAGATACCGGTACTACCGGTAGACATCGGTAGGCGGGCTGTAGGCTCCCCAAACCTACGGTAGCTGTGTTGTACATTGTGAGTAGGTATGCAAATGCCAGGTGCAGTTAATTTCACCTACGTGAGTCATTGACGAGAATCACCTTTTCCGGCCGCGGGATGTTCAAACCCTGTTCAAATAAGTACCTGTGTTACATATGTCATCAATTGATGAACCAAATACTGGATCTGTCTGCAATACAACACTTTCTGTTTGATGGACTACGGAACCAGGCATGTAATCTTACATGTACGTCTGCACCGTCTACAAACGTTTGATTGCAATTGATTCACCTCAATTTGGTTCACCGATGGATGCCTCAGACTCTGGTTGAATACGGAAACACTTCATTAAAGGGGCGCCCTTTAGATGCTAGGACTATGCGACCTGACCATATGTCCCGTACAACCACACACTGAATGGCTTCTGTATCAGATGCACGCGTACCCAAACTGACACGCGCGGCCTTTGCATGGGTAAAGTGGGCAGAATGTACCAAAAGTCACGTCCATATGAAGCTTGTCTCAACAATACGGCCTCGACTCTAGAGATCCAGAGACGGTCTGCAAGCGTCTGCTGCAGGTGCGTTTTGAAGCTGCGGAGCAAAGAAAAGGGTACATACAGTACATCTTAAGCAGATGCTACTGAACAACCTCGGAGTATACCGGGTCGAAACACACTGCAGTACGTACCAATCATAGACATGCACGATCCAGAACGACAGCTCCCTCCTCTACTATCGCTTAGCTCGAGACTGGCTGAGCTCTTTTGCGTCAACACAATGCCGTAGCTTTGAAGCAGGACCTGACATCACCCGGGAAGGCTGCACAGTTTGAGCACCAAACTTTCAGATCATTGTGTCTGGCAGGCAAACGGAAGCATGCCTATGAAGCAACACGCTGCTTCATCAGGCTCAAAAGGCTGAGCTGATGGAAGCCACAAGAACCTAGAGCAGTCAAGCTAGATGCCATCAACAGGAGATTGGCTGCAGGATGCCCTTTGCAAATTGCCGTTCTGCGGAAAGTGCTTGTAGCTGTGCTTCTTCGGTCTGCACCAAAAGCTCGCTCATAACGAAAGTTGATGGCCTAGATCCTTGTGCTACAATCTCAAGCTGAGTATACCGGCACGCAGTAGCTCACATGCTCTAGTCCGATCGGAAGGAGGCGCCAAAAACAGCCTCAATGGCGGGCGATGATGCTGCAGCTTCGGAGCCTCCTAGAGTCAGACGGGGTAGCAACTTTCAAGTGGACATCTCCCAGCTGCCAATAGCTAGGCCCAAGCCGGCACGGTCCACTGTCTGGAAGCCGGCCCTGCATGAAGACGACCCCTATTGGCAGCGTCGGGACAGGTTCTCCAAGACTCTTCCAATCACAGAGGGCCCTGCTCATGCGCTCTGGCCAGACTACAGCATTGGGTCCACAACATGGAGCATCGAAGAAGAGAAGGATTTTGTGCTCGGCATCTTCCTTTTTGAGAAAAACTTCAAACCAATTTCGAGGTTCATTGGTGACGGGCAGCAGAAGAACTTCATTCAGTGCCGCTGGTACTACTACAACAAGTTCAAGCGCGCCCTCCATCCCCTCTACCATGCATTCAAGCTGAGCAGCCTGCAGCACAGTAAGGAGCAGCACGTGCGCGGCAGCCTGATGGTGCTGGGCAACCGCGGGCGCAAGCTGCTGGCCAGGCTCTTCCACCACGTGACCGACGCCAAGGTCCAGGACCGCATCATGGACGCACACAGCAAGATGGCCCGCAATGAGATGAGCCTGGAGAAGTTTGTGCGCCTGCTCAGGAAGCACTCGAGTGCTGCCACGCTGTGGGCCGCGTTCAGCATTGGCCAGGAGGACGACCTGAGCAGCTGCCACTACCACCTGTTTGCGGAGAAGAGCAGCAGGCGCAGCCGGCTGGTGGCCAACTCGCGGTACCGCGACTGCAGCACGCTGGAGATCCAGGAGGAGCTGGCGCAGATGGACATCCGCGCGACGCCTACCAGCCAGATGTCGGACCTGTTCCACATGGGGGTCTGGCCGCGCCTGGAGCGGCTGGGCTGGCACCTGGAGACAGTGCACAAGGGCAATGGCCGGAACATGGTCTACTACTGCTGCCCGGCTCTGGCACGCTTCACAAAAGGTGCTCAAAGGGGGGTGGAATACTTTGATGCCTCGAGGGCGCTGCTGAGCTTCGTGGCACACAACCTGAGCGTCCTTGACGAAAAGCCGGAAACACCGACGGCCTACCCGAGCTCAAACTTGGACCCTCAGTATCAAGGCGTCGAGAAGCGGGGCGATCGGTGAGGACATGCCCCAATCACACAAACTTGCATGCTCTGCTCCCTCTCTGTCTGCCTCCATTCTTGCTGTAGAAAGTGCACAGCGGGAGCTGATATTGGATTCATGCGAGACAGTCTCTTTAGCAGACGTACTCGAGCCTGCCTTGTTCCACAACATGCTGCCATTCTGAGTGGAGCGCTGCTGTGTGCCTGCAGGTGGCGCTCCTACCTCATGTTTGAGCCGGAGGACGGCCAATCCGAGCTGGTGGAGCTGGGAGACTTCACCACAGCGGAGAGGGCCGCAGCGGCACACGACATTGCGGCGCTCAAGTACATAGGCCACTTGGCACCGCGCAACTTCACCCACGACTTTGAGCAAGTGAGCGCCGCACCAGCTCTCACTGCAAGTCAACCCCACATTCTCAAGGGGTTCTCCCTTGCGTGCATGGGTGGAAACCAGGGAATCAGGCTGCTTGTTTTCTCTCAGAGAGTCATGGCGGATGCAGCTGAGCTGCTAAACCATAGGCAGCTGCTGTTAGTCTCCAGAGGCACGCGCTACACCAGCAACCTGTCCTACAGCCTGCTGGCGCCTCAGTCAAAGTGCTGCCTGGGGGCCAGGAAGGCAGCACCAAAACATATTGGCTCCTTGCAGCTCAGCTTATATTCACTGTGTCCACAGATCAAGGTGAACAGACATGATCACTCTGCTTCTCTGAGAATTGCCTTCGAGAACCCGTCAGAAAATGTCAGTGGTTCATCATTGCGCTGTCTGTGTCCTCCCTAACCTGCTCCTGCCTCTCACACCCCCCCTCCCGCTCTTCCCCTGCGCCAGGACGAGGGCCTCGCCCGCATGTCTGCCACTGAGGCTGCCGCCTGGCTGGCGGAGCAGGCGCAGCTGCTGCCCAGCCCCCCCGCACCTCCTGCCACCAGCCTCCGCTCTCCCCACCCCTTCTCGCCCCCCATCACCCCTCGCCCAGGAGCTCTTTCAGGGGGCTTCTCCCCTTGCTTGTCCGACCCCATGAAGAGCCCGCGCATGCAGCGGCCGGCCCCCTTGTCGCTGTCCCAGCTGCTGCGGGTGGCTGCCGAAGCTGCCGGGCAGGGCGAGGCCAGCAAGGGAGGGCCAGATGAGCAGGCGCGCGAGGGGCCCCAGGAGGCCTGGTCGCCCGCCGCGCTGCAGCTCAGCCTGGGGCAGCGCAGAGCCGCGCAGCAGGGCGGGCGCGGCGCCTACGTGGAGGACGGCTGGACGGAGCAGCACGCGGCAGCGAGCCTGGTGGCGGCGGCGGTGCGGCCGGAGACCACTTCCACGCAGCTCAGCCATCAGATGGCTGCCATCAAGCTGCACAGCAGCGACAGCATCGCAGACGGCCAGGCCGGTAACGGGATCATCCGGAGCAGCGACATCAAGGTTGAGGGCGCACTACCAGCTGAGGTGGCGCTGTGTGCGGAGGGCACGCACGAGGGCGACCCCCGCCATTGGTGGATGCAGCAATTCCTGGAGGCCCGCGCGAGCATGGAGCGGAGGCGGGAGGGATCCCCGGATGAGGACGAGTGGGAAAGGGGGCGCAGGTAGGGCGGAGCTGTGGCCATGGAAGCGAATGCGTGGATGATTTCGTGCAACTTCCTATCGCATTTTTACTTTCAACATGGCCTTCTCGCACCCTATCTTCTCAAGGTCGTGAAGCGTCCTTTCTCGCTTGGAAGCAGCTTTCTGAGGGCTCGAGCGTGTGGGCGCCTGTCCCTTGTTCCTTTCAATTGAATGTTGCCATTTTAAGCGAGGACAGGTCAAAGGCAGATATATGTGTGTCTGAACAAAGTTTGAACGTTGATCTATGAGCCGTTCACTATACACGTCTGCTGTGCGGGCGTGACTAGTGGTCACAGCTTGCTGATCATGAACTGTCCCTGTCAGGGTGTCACGCAAGGGGAGCGAGGGGCCTGAGGGGCCGGCTGGCGCGGGCCGCCACGTGTGCCCCGACTGCGGGCTGAGCTTCGAGAGTGCGCAGCAGCTGGGGGGCCACCGCGTGGTGCACAAGCGGCCCGCTGGCAGCGAGCGCTTCCGGTGCCGCACCTGCGGGAAGGGCTTCGAGACGCTGCAGGCGCTGGGGGGGCACCAGAAGACGCACCAACCCGCGCAGCGGGCCAGGCTGCCCCGCGACGACCAGGAGACGGAGGCCAAGGTGAGGGACCTGCGCTTTGCAGGGGTGCAGGCCGTCAATCGGGCCATCGCCCCACGTTGTCGGTCGCTATGAAGTACTGGCACAATTCGCAAGAGCCGTGTACGTGCCTCTGGTGTTGATTGCTGACATTCTTTGTGCGACGTGGCAGGGGGATGGCCACTCGTCCCGCGCTCCGGGCCCCGGTTGGCTGCAGTGCCCGACCTGCCTGGACTGGTTCAAAAACGGGCACGCTCTGGGGGGCCATCAGAGAGTCCACGGGGGCCAGCAGTTCCCCCCCATGAAGGGCATCAGGAGCGGGCCAAGGCCACCGCCTGAGATCAACGGTGAGAGCCCCAAGATGGCCAGCGAGACGAGCCTGGGGGGCACTTGCGCCCCTCCTGCGTCTCGCATCAGCCGCCAGCTGTCTCCCTCTGCCTTGATTGAGGGAAGGGCCCTCCTGATCGCAGCCGCTCTGGTGTTGCAGTGTTCCTGGTGGCACGCGAGGAGAAGCCGGTGGCGTGCGCGCTTGAAGGGGACGCAGGAGACGACCTGGACGACGAGGAGGTGCTGGGGGAGATCATCTACCGGCAGCCGGTGAGCATCGCGACAAAGATGAGGGTTGCAGGGATGCTGCACGAAGAATAGCTGCAGGCTGTGAACTTTCCACAATAACACCAACACTAGCCACCTCAGGGTTGATGAAGGGAACTTCTCATTAAAATAGACCCGAGAGAGCACTAACCGGAAGCGTCGCCTGTGCTTACGTTCGTGATTGTCGTGCAGCCCGTTCTTTCGTCCTTCTTCCGCATTGGGACCACTCGAACCCTCATATGTCAATATTTGTCTTTCGGCCCTTGCGAACGTTCTGCTCGAAGTTCCTGCAGTCGTTTCAAAGGCCTGAGTTTGAGTTTTTGGCTGATCGATGGAATCAGATCGCCCAGCTCAAACCGTGTCCGTGTCCTGGGTTGTGCGAAGATGCTCCTTACCCCGCTGCCTGCCTGCTGTGCTGCCCGCTGGCCCCTCGCTCTCGCGGCTGCTCCTCCGCTGGCGCTGACGCGCGGCCCTCTGCTGCAGGGCGACGACTCGGGCGACGACGACGACATGGACGACGGCGAGGCGGGCGCCGGCGACGCATACGGGCGTCGCCGGGCGGGGCGGCCGCGCATGAAGAAGGCCGGCAAGTACCAGTGCCGCAAGTGCGACGCCACCTTCCCCACCTCGCGCGGCCGCGATGGTCACCAGCGCATGCACGGGCCCAGCGCGGGGGCCGTCGTCCGCCGCGGGCCCTCTGCGGAGCCCTACCACGACGGCGCGCCCTACGGCCCCATGGCCGCGGGCTGGGGCTCCGACGACGCGGATCCCACCCGCGAGGCCGCGCCCGAGCCGCCCCCAGCACAGTACGCCCAGGTGAACCTCGCGACCGGAGAGGCTCGGGCAGACGATCGCGCGGCAGAGGAGGGCGGCGAGGGCCAGCCCGCGACAGTCGGCCCGGGCGCGGAGGAGGTGGGCGCGGGGGACATGCTGCCGTTCACGGCCGCGCGCAGCAGGAGGATGCGCAAGCCGCGGCGGTTCGAGAGCTTCGAGTGGCAGACGGACGAGTGGCGGCGGGAGGAGAAGATGGACGAGACGGCGCCACCCGTGGGCGCGGACGGCAGCGGGTCCGACGGGGACATGGAGAGCAGCGGCAGCGAGCGGGACGCGCACGTCTTCGCCTGCAACGAGTGCACCGCCGTCTTCCCCAGCGCCAGGTCGCTCGGTGAGCGCGCGCGCGGCCCGCGCAGCATCCTGGCCCCTCTCTCAGGCCCGTACGAGCTCAACTGATCCGGCGGCCCTGAGATTGTTCTGTCCAATTCTTATGTCAGTCTAAGCCGCCCCAACCTCTGCTTCAAACAACCTGCTCTTCTTCTCGGCCAGAATCGAGCTAAAGCTTCTGTAGTAAAGTCCCCTTATCACGTAACCTTTTGAGCTATTACAACACATTCAAAAAAGATTTAGTCTTTTGTATAGTCGTAAATATTCAAGCGGGAAAACAGACAAGCTAGAATTCCACCATTGATGCGACTAGATCCCAAAAGACCAATCTCAAAGGATAATCAACCTGGACGGTTTGAAGGAGGACCGGACGGCTTGGATGAAAAACTGCTCGAAAGGCAAGAGCTAGGATCGGCACATTATACACGAGGTTGGCAAGGATCCATGCTTGCAGATTTGAGGGTTGCTTCGTCGAACCGATGCCGCACGCAGTCCGATCGAAAGGATACCTTGCGTTTCCTCACAAGGATGTTTGGCCCCCACCTTGGCTGGCAATTGCGCCGACCCTCTTATAATGATCTGTGGGCCACTTTCACGTGTCGCTGCTTGCGGTGGCGGCGCCGTTGCAGCCAGTTTGCTGAAGGGGTGGCTGTCTGTGGTTGGCGCGCAGGGAGCCACCGCAAGCTGCATCGCAGTGAGCGGCGGCGGCGCCTCGAGGAGCTGCGCGCCATGTCGGAAGACGGCCACTACGGCAGCGAAGTGGGGCCCAAGGCGGAGCCACACGCGGCCGGGGCGCCGGCAGAGAGGAGGGAAGCCGCGGAGCCGCACGCCAAGGTGAGCCACAGGGCACCAAATGGACAAGAGCCGCAGGACGGCGGCCGCCGGTGGGACGTATGTACCGGATACAGAGTCGAAGACTTACTTGGCACGCTGCAGCGGTGCTTTGCATGTTTATCCAAAGCCGGTTCTCCAGCAGGTTGCTCCGCCAAGAGGCTCTCTTGTCTCTGTTGCATGGTTGTGCGCGCACTGACCCGTCGCTGCGGTGCAGGCGCGCGCGCTGGAGGTGGGGCGCGAGGTGTACGGCGGGTGCATTTTGGCCAACGGGCGCTACCGGTGCAACACGTGCTTCAAGGACTTCGGCACGGGGCAGGCCCTGGGCGGCCACCAGCGCATCCACTCCAGCGGGCCCACCCCGGCCAAGAAGAAGGCGCCCAAGGCCCTGGCCAAGCCGCGCAAGCGCGCGCCCACCGGCACACACCCCAAGGAACCCCACCGCGCGGCCTTCGGGCGGCCGCTGTCGGCCTCGGGCAGCCGGTGCGTGGTCCCGGGGCGGCCGGCGTGGATGGACGACGACGACGACGAGGAGGCGGAGGAGGAGGTGCGCATGGGGGGAGGGGGCGAGGGCGGGTGGCGCAATGCAGCGGAAGAGTCGCCCGTGGGAACCGGGCGCGATGTGGCGCAGCGCTGGGAGGCCACGGCAGGAGGAGGCGGGGCGGAGTGCGAGGACTCGGCGGAGCTGTTAATGGCTATCCACTTCCAGCAGCAGGAGCGAGAGCGCGAGCGCGAGCGGGGCGTCGCGCAACGAGGTATCACCAAGCCCCTCGCCGCGTCGCCCCTCGGGGTCAAGGCGCGGCTAGGGGCCGCCGCCACTGCTGGAAGTGAACCCCCCCAGGATGTCGAGATGACGGTCGCCAGCCCCACGGAGAAGGTGGCCCCCGCGGCCGCGCAGCCGGTCGCAATAGGTATAGGAGGGCCCCGCCCGCGGGCAGTCGCGGTTGGTGGGGCGTGGCATGCGGCGGCCCGGCTGAGCGCCGAGTGGGCGGAGAATGTGCCCATCGGGCAGAGCAGCGTCTTCTTTCCGGGCCGCGCGCAGACGGACACGTGGCCTGGGGGCGAGAAGCGCAAGCGCGTGCTGTCGCAGCTGCCGGGCGCCAGCAGCCCAGAGAGCTCCCCCGCCAACAGCCCCCAGGCCACGGGGCCGACCCCCAGCCGCTTCCACGCGCGCCCCACCGCGGCGCACGTGCCCGCCCCGTACCGCCCTGCCAGCATGGGCAGCCCCGCGGGTGCCGGCCTGTCGCGCTATGGCGCCCAAGCGCTGCACGGCCAGCCGCGGGGGGCGCCCGAGACGGGGGGGCGGCCGGACCCGCGCTTCCTGAGCACCCTCACGTCCAGCACCAGCGCCGCAGTGACCAAGGTGAGCTACGGCATGCCGCCTTCGGATGCACGACAAGATGAGAGCACTGGTCCTGCAAAGTGTTTTCACGCGGCCATGGCGCAAGGCAGGTCCCTTCCCGAGTGCCTGACCCGCTCCCCGGGTGTGTGCCTCTTCCAGGTGGGCCCAGCGCGCCTCCACCAGTGCGGCGAGTGCGGAGCTGAATTCGAGACGGGGGCGGCGCTAGGAGGGCACGTGGGCAAGCACCGCCGAGAGAACGAAAAGCTGCGGGAGAAAGAGGCACACGCGAGCGACCCGCCGAGCAGGTGAGCGGATTAGGGCGCCGGGGGGCAGCACTGCCGACGCGTTGCGACCGATGAGGACTAGAGAATCCAGAGCGTCGACAACCTCACTCAATACGACTGGATTTTCAACTAACCTTGTGGCGGCCCAATTGGAAAGCAGTAATCCATCCATTTTGAAGGGACAATCGAAGTACGGTGTCAAGTTGACAAAGAGTGTCTCCTAGCGTCGAGCAGCCGGGTGTCATGCTGTTGAAAGCTGTCTCATTTGAAGATTTTCGTTGCCCTCCCCGACACGTGTCCCGCACTGTTTGCAGGGAGGCGCTCCGGGCGGGCATCATGGCGCGCGTGGGCATGTCGCTCACGCCGCGCGGTGGCAACGTGAAGGCGGCCACTGCGCGGCACCAGGCCCCAAAGAAGCGCATTATGGTCAAGTTCCAGGCGCAGCAGCAGCAGCACGGGCCCCCGCACCCCGCCGCCCCACTCGCCGCGCACCCCGCCGCCCCCAGCTCCGCCTATCTGCGGATGCCCATTGCGGGCCTCTCGCAGCACCCCGGAGGAGCGGTGCGGCTTGGGCCGTACTCAGTCCCGCCCTCGCAGTTGGCTACAGGCCGCGCGCCCCTGCGACTGACGGTGCAGGTGGCCACCTCCCCCGTCGTGAGCCCCGCCCGGTTGGTGCGCTCCCCCACCTTCGGGCGCGACGCCCTCCCTCGGGCTGCCGCGGCCACCGCGTCCCCCGACCCCACGCCGCGCACTCGCGACGTGGCCGCCTTGCTGCAGAACTGGAAGGCGCACACCGACACCGGCGGCCGAGGGGAACCGCTACAGGTGAGCGACCTCGAGGATCGCGACGATGAACGGGAGGAGCGTCGGAAGCTTGCTGCCCTTGTACCCAGCTTCTGGTGTTTGCCGCGCCCGTCGGACGCTGCCTGCTACCGGTGCCGCCTGTATCGCGTCGCCGCCCCGTTTTCTAAAACGGGTGGCCTCGTTGTGTTTGCAGGCCGCCCGCACCTGTGAGAGCCCCTCCCGCACCCCGGTCCGCATGGTGAGCAGACTGGCGGTGCCGCCCGCTCTGCTGACGCTGCCCAACGGGAAGGCCGACCCGGAGGCGGCCGCGCCCAAGGTGCTGTCGCCGGGGAACGTGAATACTGCCGCGCGCGCACCCATGGGCCCGCTGCAGTGGGAGGCGAAGCTGGCGCAGCGCAAGGCCGCGTCGCCAACGGGCGGATGCAAGGGCAGCAGCATGCCAGCCGGGGAGGGGCAGGCGCGGACCCCCAAGGCAAGGCCCACCGGCGAACGGGCTGTGAATGCTCCGCGTAGTGCCACGTGATCAGATAGGCAGGATGTTAGGGAAGGAAGAGTAGAGCACGCTTTCATCGAGTCTAAAATGTAAGGGGATAAACACGGCCTGCATTACAAGTTTCAGAGTCTCGAGCTGCGAACCCCTCTCTCGGATCCAGTGTGCACCAGAGAAAATTTGAGGCTTAGCCCTGTTGCCAATGGTTTTACCTTTGCTTGCAGCCGGTAGTATTCTGTGGCCGTGTTTCTATCTTTACGGTGGCTGTCTTTCACGTTGCCACGTTCCAAGAACAACAATGTTCGAGAATGCCCACCGGCAGAGCTGCCATAATGATTTAAATTAACTTTACTCTACCAATTCTTGTCAACATTCCAAAGACAGTCCGCTAAAGTGCCGAGGGTTCTGGTGCAGATTGGTGTTGACTGCACCTTACGTATGTAAAAGAGTCCGATATACTACTGTAGGGCATAGCTGGACGGTTGTGATGCACCCATGAATACTTGCAGTGATTATGGGCAGTGACTGCATAATGAGACACTTTGGCACGGATGCTGGCTGCACGCATAGCAGCGGTCCATGAAACGTAGTCTGTGGGCAACAACGACAATTATCAAGTCGCTAGCGATCCACCCGCGCTGACAGCAACCTCTGGCGACCCGGCGTGAGACGATCCAATATAAATGCATGGTTCTAGGCATGTATCCCCTTTGTACTGTATCAGTATATCATTTCGACGGAGTTCCCATGTGGACATGCGGTCGCCGCGGGTCATCTTGAGCAATGTAGTATGCGCGCGCATGAACTTATTGCATGCAGTCTGACTGATATGATTCGATGACTGTCCTTATGAATTAGCTGAGTATTGTTAGCGATTTCGCGTCGACCATGTGCCTAAAAGCCATGTGGGTAAAACTCACCGCTTGCAGTGCATGTATAACTTAAGCGTATCGGTTTGAACCGGTGCATGTGCTTAATTCTGCATGACAAGAACGTTTTGATCGTAGATGAAAGCCTGAAGCGGGGCGGCCGCCTAATGTAGGCAAGTTCTGCCGCGTGTGGCAACGATATTGGAAAGTGGCACTGACAATTAGTTCCTGTCTGAAGCTCACATGGGAAACGTGTGGCGTCGAAGAATGATTGTCGACTCCACTGTTTACATCGTGCTTTGCAGACTAAGAGTGTAACAATAATATAAAAGTTCGTATATCGCAGTTCACCTGTTGGAGCGGATGCTTAGGTTCGCCTCCCACAATCTGTACATACAATACTTTGGCTTTTCGTCCCGGCCCGCTGTCAAGAAAGCACAACTTCTCCCGAATCATTTTCTCAACGCGCAGGTTTGAGCTCGTCAGCGGATGAGCTTCGCATGAGCCGTAGGCTGCAATTCGGCTCACTCAGAGGACCATGCCATCCTCATGTCCCAAACCGCTCAGTCGAACCCCTGAGTGAAGCATCGAAGATAGAAAGAGTAATGTTACCCTGTTTTCCTCTCCGCCACCGCGGTGCTACCCGAGTTGTTTCTCGAGCTGCTTCACCTCTCTCAGCACCGCCAGCGCCTCCTGCTGCCGCCCCGCCCGCTTCAGCTCCACTGCCCGCCGCTTCTCACTTCGGATCCGGTCCTCCAGCTGGCCCCCCTCCCCTCGCGGTGCCGCAACCTTGGCCGGCTTGCCCGCGCCACTGCCCGGCCCGGCCCCCATCCCCCCCCGGATCTGCTGCTCGCTCCACCCGAGGCCCTTGAGCGCGGCCACGATGTCCGGGTCGAACGCGTCTTCCACTGGCCCCTCGCTCTCGTCCTCCCCCACGGAGCCCCCCTCTGCCGCCGCTGCCTCTGCGGCCGCCCCGCGCGCGGCCAGCTGCCTCTCTTGCTCGCGTGCCTGCTGCAGGGCGGCGCGCGCCTCCGGCAGGCGGCCCTCCCGCTTCAGCCGCACCGCCGCCTGCTTGCCCGCGCGAATCTGCTCCTGGAGCTCGCTCACGCCCACTCCGCCGGACGCTGCCGTCGCAGGGGGCCGGGCGCTCTCTGCCTTCGGTGAAGGGGCGGCTGGCGCTGCTTCGGGGCTGCTCTCAGGCCAATAATGGGGCGGGGCGCTGAAAGCTTCGTCACCGTCGGAGCGCCGGCGGTCTGGCTGCGGGGTGGGCGGATCACTGGGTGCGCCGCCCTGTGGGCTGCCCAGCCCTGGCCTGCCTGCGCTGGTGCCCACCGCTCGCCCTGGGTCTCGCTGCACTGCTGGTGCACTGCTGTCTGAGGGAGGCCCCCGCCCCGTCCCCTCCTGCGACACCGCCGCTGCCCCTGCTCGCAGCGGCTCTCTGCGGCTCTCCGGGAAGAACCGTCTCCCGGCGTCATTGGCCGTGCTGCTGTCGTCTCCAGTTGCCTCCGCCCTCGCCCCCTGGCCTGACGTGGTCGCGGCTGCAGCCTGGGGCGTCCTCCCTGCCGTCCCGAAGGCAGGCTCCTGCATGCTCGAGAAGAGGTCGGCTGGCAGCGGGCCGGCACTGACGGGCGTAAGCTCCGGGGCTACGTTGGCCGGCGGTCGCACCGGCTGTGAGAAAATGTGTGCCGCGGGGTGGGGCAGTCCAACGCTGGGCCGGGCCGGGGGCCCAGCCAGGCCGCCCTCGTCTCTTCGGCTGCTCGCAGGTGGGCCCGTATGCCCTCCGGTGAGATCCGCTGTGGTGGCCGCGGCGGCCGGGGCGGGCGCGTGCTGTGCCTGCTCCTCGAGTGCGTGTGCCTGCTGCAGCGCCGCGCGCCAC